TACGGGCATGCGTGTCCATGAACCTCTACACTGTGGTAATATTCTCTGTTGGTGACAAAGTGTGAAACTATTGGGATTTGTCTTCAATGTAGCCTATGGGAGCTTTCATTCTTTTTCTGCATGCATTGCCAATACAGCTTTTAAAGGCTTAGTTGTCCTCCCAACTTGTTTTATTCATATCAGAATTGTGATATTTATGATGGTAATATCTCTGAAATCTTTGAAGATAAATTTCATTCTCTCTCTATATCTGCAGTGTTCTATATAACATCTTAAAATGGTGCAACCTTTCCCTAGTTAGGCTAGTTTTACTTCAGTTTCAGCAGATAGGTAATTGACATTCTGTAGATTAGGCAGGAATCAGAAGAGTTGTTGTTGGCATCAGGCACCCTTTGCAGCATCTTAGAGGCACTGCCGTACGTGCATTAAGAAGTCAAGGTCTGCAGGTTGATGTTCTTGGAGAGGATATAAAAAGTAAAGTTCTAGAGGTATGATTTTCTAACTTCATCTGTTTTGTTAAAGTTATAAGTTTCTCGTCTGTTTGTTTCTCTTTTCTTTTTTCCTTTCTTTCTTTTATTTTTATATGGTATAGTTTTACTAAAAAATTAAATATATTTTTCTTACGGGAGGCTGTATTGTTGAGAGGGCTGTACTTGTTGACAAGGGCTCTTTTTTTGTTGGACTCTGGTGGCAACTTATTCAATAAATTATGTGCAACTATACACATGGCACCTTACTGGATAGATGATGATACTGTACATGTGGCATCTCATTGGATGGAACTGCTCCATCAAATAGTGTTACCATAAACTGAATATGTAATTTTTTTGCAGAAAAGTATTTAGAAATTTTCTTAAAAGCCACCAGCATTTTAAATATTCCCAAGAAGATTTTGCACACCAAAAGACACATGCAGAATTCTTTTCTTCTTTTGTATGATATGATTTACGCCTTTTTTCATTCTTTAAAAATTTCTTGTTATCTGTTAAGTCATGCTCTCGGATTATTGTTTTAAGTCTTGGCACATATGCTATCTATGTAAGTGGTCTCTGCTGTATTTATCTAACATTTCTGAATCATATATTATAGGAGGCTCGGAAGTCTTGCCTCCTCGTCAATGCTCCTCTGATTCATAGAGCTATTTGTCGAGTTCCATTCTCTGTTCTCAAGTATGCCATGACCCTTGATGGTTAGTGTTACAACTAAACGGATGTTCCGTTAACTCTCTTTTTTCATTTTATTTCTTCTTGGCGGGGTTGGAGAATAAGATTGAATTAGAATAGACTTCTTCTTAAAGAGCCTCAATCTTTTATGCTTGCTGCTGAAGTCTTTATCGGGTGCTTACAGGTAAAATTGCTGCTAGCAGTGGACATGCAGCATGGATAAGCTGCGAAAAGTCTAGGGATAGAGTGTTTGAATTGCGAGGAAGAAGTGATGCCATTATAGTTGGAGGAAATACTGTGCGCAGAGATAGTAAGTTTGTCCTTTCTTGGCATGTTATGATGTCACTGTTTAAATGTTATGGTTGCCAACTATGGTGAATGCGATCTTATTTATTGTTTCATATATTCTGTTACTATTTACATTAAAAAAAATTCTGTTATTATAGATCCAAAGCTGACTGCAAGACATGGAGGCGGCCATATGCCTATTCGGATTGTAATGACACAAACTCTCAACCTTCCCGAGGAAGCCAGCCTTTGGGATATGTCTGAAGTATCTACTATTGTTGTTACCCAAAGGGGTGCTCGAAAGAGTTTTCAGAAATTTCTTGTGTCTAAAGGAGTTGAAGTAGTGGAGTTCGACATCTTAAACCCTAGAGATATAATGGAATATTTTCATGATCGTGGGTATCTTTCTATTTTGTGGGAGTGTGGAGGGATACTAGCCGCATCTGCTATTTCATCTGGTGTCATACACAAGGTTTACTCTTTCTTATGGTTGTTTGGATTCCTATGTAGGTTACCTCTCTATTGACTATAACTTAAAGAACTGGGTTATATCTATGCTTATTCTTGGAATGACGCTAAAATTTAATTTTGCAATTAATTTTAACCTTCTAACAGACAGAAGTTGCTGATTTTTTTAAAATCATTATACAACATGCAAATGTCTGATAGGCTCTTGGGAGTTCAATTTCAGTACCTTTTTTCTCAGCTCATAAATTATATTTTGAATCTGATGTCCATCATATGTTTAAAACAAGCTTTATGTCTAGAGCTGTTATAACACCATGTTTGCTTATTTGTTTATGCATATGTGCTAGCGAGTGCCATGCACTAAGATTTTGAAATGGTTCTACATGGTTTAGTTTTCAATGAAGTTTATTGTAACTTTCATAGTTCTCTGGTTACGTTTGCCAATGTGTATCTATATATATATATATTATTATTTTTTTTTTGGAGATAAAAGTTAATAGATGTATTAAAAAATGGTACCAAAGGGGTACCGCCCATGTACAAAGTATTACATATTTAGGAGGGTATTGATAACAGCTCTAATGTCATCGAAAGATAATAAGTTACGACCCAAAAGAATGAAGTCAAAACAATGTAACTATTTATCATTAATGTTTACAAAAGTATCTTCATTATCTTTGAAAGTCCTGTTGTTTCTTTCTTTCCAAATGATCCAAAATATAGTAAGGGGAATTAGGCGATTGACGTGATTGCTTGAGTTTAAACCATTTCAAACCAAGAGCTTATCATGAACGGATCTAGCCATTACCCGATTAATACCAATTAAATTAAAGATCATGACCCAAAGTTTAGAAACAAAAGGACATCATAGAAGAATGTGATTGCAGCTTTCGGCGTCACACTTGCAAAGGAAACACCTGTTAACCATAACTTTCCACGCTTCATCAAATTATCTAAAGTCAGAATCTTCTCTTTCCTGGCTTCCCAAGCAAAAAATAATAATTCTAAGAGGAGCGCCGGTTTTCCAGATAGATTTGAAGGGGAAAGGAGAATTGACATTGTTGCACCGGTTACTAGAGTTGGAGAGAATGTTGTAGAAAGACCGGATACTGAAAATGCCATTTTTTTGCCCCTTCCAGATCAAGGTATCAGTTCTGTTCAGAATAATAATACCAGCCATCAGGTTTAAAAACTGCCCATACTCATTCAATTCCTAATCATTTAAGTTTTGGGTAACCAACACGTTACACAAAGCAGAATTGTCAAAAGCGTCACAAACCATCAAATCTTTGTGTTGTGCAATAGAATAAATAGTCGGAAAAACAGATTTAAGGTTGTCATTACTGCACCAACGGTCATCCAGAAATCACC